CGGCAGATTCCCTGTTAAGATATAAAACACATGATGAGCACATAGTGACATCAAAAGAAGCGCAGTGTAATGGTGTTCAGATGTCTCCCCTCAAGCCCGCACAGAAGCTGCTCTGAGGGTTGCTGTTGCAAGGAGCCCTAAATAATACCCTTTTGATAAGCCAGTTGTTATCAAATCCAAGGAGTCTCATGAGCAGCACCTCCTGACTTTGTTCCTTCGCGGACTGAAGAGCATGAAGGCTTCTTCTGTTGCTTGAAAGACGTGTGAAGGTTCAGGTTTTAAACCTCAAATCCTGTTTTTACTTCAGAAGTTGATTGCACAAGCGGACAGTGAATGAGTGTCTCTCCATTTCCCTTGCGGTCAGAGAAGATCCTATTCATACCGAGTTTACAAGCAAACACTTCCTTTGGTAAGCTTCCCATGCAATTCAATTCATGTGCGTGCTTTCAGGCTGTCTTCGGGTCTGGGCGAACATCAGAACGGGCGAGTGAGGCAGGCTCTCTTCTCAGCCCACCGCAGCGTTTTCTGCAGCATTCTGAACGGCTGAAACACTGCGTTTTCTGTACGTTGCTGCAGTCCTGTTATGTCGCTGAGATTACTCACGCATCAAGAGGCTAAGCACATACCTGGGTACCTCCTGTACGATGTACAAGCACCCCAGAATTTTACTTGCTTAACAATCAATCCAGTGTTTTTTGCTTCTTATAGTTACTGGCTGGCAGCCTAGAATCCGCTGGCACCTACACATCGGATTTTCCTCTGAGCACTGCTGTGACCATGTTGTGTGTTCGAAATAGTATGTATTAACAGTAAGTACTTTATGAGCAGAAAATAAATCATTATTTATGGAAGACTTGCAATTTGTAGTCAGCACTAGCCTGTACTTGTAGTAGGGAGCCATCAGCTTAAGGCTTTGGCTGTAGCAAGTGAAAGGAAGATCTGTCCTTGGGATATTCTAACATTTTCCACTCCAGGAAGCTCCTTTCCTAGGTGCATCTCCTGCACTGTGTAACAGAGCACTACCCACATGGAAATTCCCAGTTAATGCACCACGCAGTACCTCAGGATCCATACATGGAGATCACCAGGGAAGGTGGAGATTAATATTCACTTGAAACGGCAGTGGAAGTTACTCAAGTTGCACAGTGAATTCTAAGCTAGTTTTGGCCACAATACTAAAGCTATTCCTGAGAAAAACGTCATGAGGTACTTGTGACCACAGGTAGGTGAGACCTTTGTCATCAGCCACTCATGAGGAAACATGAGTATGTCCAAGAGGACATTGTCTAAAATAAGGCAGCGTGTTGGCCTTGGCGGTTGAGTCATCGGTATCACTTCCTGCAGCCCCTGCTTTTGCTCCGGGTATTTCTCAAGGGAGCACTGACTTAGCCTCGTCTCTTTGATTCTTCTAGAATGAATAAGATCATCGCTCCGGAGCAGTAACGATGAATATGTCCTTGATTCAGAGGAATGTGCGCTCCTTTTAGCGCAAGTGTGCTAAGTCTTCCATGAGACGCCTGCCTGATTAGTTTTTATCTTTACACGTCGTGGCTCCGCTGATTTGAAACCTTCAGAGTCCCTAGCTGTAAAATGGAGAATTCTGCTTCATGGGGAAAATCTGGTCAAGTGAGAGAGCTGTGTTAGTGGCTCCTGCCTCAGGGTACCACTGAAAGCTGTTGCATATAGAGATCTCTTGCCTCTATTTTAATGTTTGACTGGAAGTTTCTTTAATCACCAAAATACTACGTGAAACTTCTGTTCTCTGGCAGAGACAGCTTCTCACCAGGTTTCAGTGACAGACCCATACCAGCCACACTGAGGTTTGCTGTGTTTGTAAAGCAGCTCTTATGGAAAAGAACAAAAAACTCACCTCACCTCTGAGCTCACCTCTGAGTTTCTTTCCTAAAATATCGTTGCAAAATTTCTGACGTCAAACAATGAGACACAAATTACCCTGTGAACTGTTAACATATGTCTGTTTACATATGATATCTTATAGCCAAAACAGATTAAGATTTGAAGGTTTAACTGCTGTTGAGTTTCCACGTCTGTGAATCATACAGATCAGCTTATTCATCACAGACACTTATTTTCATTCTTTAACTCTTTCAAGCTACTTTTCCCTAGAGCAGAGCTTATGGGGGACATGGGACAGGTAGGAACACAGAGGTCACAACTGCCTAATCACCCCCAAACTCCCTAAATGAAAGAACAAAGAGCTGCCAAGAACTACAGCCACCCCAATGAATCAGCAGTGGTTTATAACTTCCACCAGGTCAGTTGACAGGCACAGAAGCCTTTCCCAATTGCCAAGGCTACGCTGTCCTTCCACCTAGTAAAGTGCTGGCTGCAACTCACGGTGATGACCAAGCCCGTAATCTTTCAGGTTCAGGAGGAAAATTACTTGTAAGAACCAGCAACAAGAGAGAAGCAGCCATGAAAAATTAACAGGATGGCTCAAATTTCAAGTTCAGAGAAGAAAAAACTTCACTCATCGTACTATAATTCCTTGGATGTTATAATACAGCTTAAGTTCAGAAATATCAAATATTTTGGGGAGAACTTCCTTGATTTCAGTAAATACAGGCAGTTTTCTCTAGCAGTCGGATCTGTGCGATGCATCACTGATTTTGATGGGACTGAAGTACTCCCATCATCAGTCCGGCATCAGCGCCTGGATAATATGGCTGTGGCCATATCTGAAACGAGGTGTCTCCGACGATAAATGAAAGAAACCTACCTCCGTTTAAAGACACACACCTCTTCACCTCATGTGTGATTGTCATTAAAGCTAAGCAGGTTAAGTGCTGCCAAAAATCACTCCACTTCTTTCGGCTGAAGACCGAGAAGGATTTCAGCATTTAGGCTGCACCTGCACTTGCTGTTCAGGCTCTCTGATTCACCGATGCTGCCTGGCTCAGACTGGCCAAGGAGAGAGGGAAGATGATGTATTTTGAAGCAAGAATGTGAACATTCAAAAATACCTTTCCACTTAGAGTGGCAATAAGTGAGTGCTTGACTATTTGTTCTCTTCATTTAAAGTGTTGCTTCAGATTTGTTTTTTTCTCCCAGCTGCATCATCGTAAGCAGGCAGTTGGCATTATTACCTGGGGATTAGCTAACACAGGGACAGACTGAGTGCAGCTTCCCCTGGGGCCACCAGCGCTGCTGTGGGTCAAGCCTCTCTCAACGTACAACAAGGTGTAACCAAGACAGCAATCTCCCTTACAGCATTACTCACTGGAACATGAGGGTAGTGACCGTACCAGGAACTGCAGCTATCTAAGGGTAGACTGGGACAAACGCTGCAGCTAGAAAAAACCAAACTGCTGCCACCAATTTCGTGATACTACAAATTAATCTGGGGGTACTTTTAGTGTTTGTAATGTTGCGTGTTACTGGAAGGCACACTCAGGCATCCAGACACCTACACAAAACTAAATTTGAGGTGCGACACTGTGGCCATGTAAAATGTATGTACATCTTTGCACCTGAAAACCTGTGAGACTGATTACCAGAGGGGCTGAATGAGATCCATGAGGACAATGTTAATGCACCTCTGCCAGAGACAGCAGAGATTGTTTAACCAACGCAAGTTTCTGTTTCTGAGAGTTCTGCTTATCGATGGTGCTGGAGCAAGTCTAACCACAAAAAGATGAAACAAAAAGCTATGGATAGTTTAGGATGTTCCCCCCCCCACACTGCTTTTTACATCCTCCCTTGTGGTATTTAGCTGAAAAATGGTGACCCATCTTAAACCCTATAGATTTGAGACCGCGGATGTCTTATAAGGGACCTGGGTTTTACACATAAAAACACCAAAGTACATGCTGCTCAACACTCCCCAGTCTCTTTCAGCTACTTCGGCTGGGCTTCCACTGGCAGAAGCACTCGTGATCACCGCTGGTTTTGAAAAGATGGGCCTTTGGGGTTAGACCACATTATGAAAACTACCCAGCTAATTCCCATGGAGTGTTTTGAACACAAAAGCTCAGTGCAAATAATAATGGGTCAGTTCCCTTTTTCAGCTGTGAAATCAGCTTGCAAATTAATATTCTTCAATTACAAAATAACAATTTCAGTTTGAAGTGGTTTGCACTCCGGAGTGCAGCTGGGGTTAATAATGGTCAACGGAAGGGAAGCTGTCAGCAAACAGTAACCCAGAGTGAAAAGCTTAGCATTTAGGTACCTTAGCTACGTTTTACACTGAATGACAGATTGTAAATTCAGAAAAATGACATAGGAAAACACCATCTAACCCACTAAGGATCCCAAAGCTCAAAGAAACCTGTTTTCTGCTTCACATATGCCAGGAGATAATTGCCACCTGACCACCAAGGCAGCTCCTTTTACCGATGGCTATTTCTATTAATATATGCTGTTTCAGAGCGATTGAGGTAATAAATACAGAGTGTCACAAAGTTTAAGTCCTTTTTTGGATCTGTGCCCAAATTCATAGATACCTGAGGCTTATATAAAATGAGATTAACTGCTTTTCAATTCAAAGCTTATGGTTACAATATATTTGTATTATGTACAAATTGGTTATTGCAATACATGTGTAACTAACTGCAGTCTCCTAACCTAGAGTATTAAGGTAAAGCCCTCTGGGACTTCCAAACGCCTGGAATAAAAGCTTCTGAACGTCAAAAGAAAAGCCTAAGTTAGGGCAGAGTGTTCAAAAATTATAAAAACAAGGCCAAGATCCTCAAAGCCGAGTGGTAATTTTGTGTGTCCACACGCAAGGTATAGATATGCAGCACTTCCTGCAAATTAAGGTCTATTAAGGTTTCCTGAGCTTTGTATTAAAACATGGACGTGCTCCCAGGCAGGGCATATGTCTTGGGTAAACCCGCGGTCAGAGTGCCCTTCTCCGAGTAATCCCAGCAGTTACAGAGGCAGTAACAGAACTGTCTGCAATACTGAGCAAAACTCTCGCTGTTACATGCTGGCAGAATCTGCATCTCTAATATGCTGAAAAAATTAGGACACAGATAAGGAAGGCTAAGTGCTGCAAAACACGTTTTATTTATCAAATGCAAGCTTTTAGAACTGCGGGAAGGTTAAAAAAACCAAACAAGTTAAACTGGAATTCCTCATATTCGGCAGTTTAAAAAATGCTTTCAGTTACAGCTGAGACCTTCAACTTTGCCTATAAATGAAACACTTTAAATAACAATCAGTTACACAACCTACTTACAATCAGCAGCTTATCTCACAAGACCTCTCATAACAAATTTTCTTTGTGGCAGCAGGGTATCCAGCTGACTTCTCCAGTGTTGACCAGCTTTGTTTATTCTGACTGTCAATCGCTCTTTTAAGTGCTTCATCTGGCACAAGATCCGATCCTTTTACATCAGCATGGCTACAGCCAATTTTAGGGCATCTGTTAAAAAGAAAAGAGACTCCATTAAATTGGAAGAATCATATTTGTCAGATATAGGCTTTTATAGAACATCAGCCAGTTTATTGTATTTATCTGGGATTCCCTCTCTCTGTCAGCTCCTTGCTACCTCTCTTGCTCTTCACCAGCTCTCTGTGGGGAAAAATAAATCCACTTATCTAAACGGGTGGGAATTAACAGCTGAAGGAAGGAAGGAACACAGCGAGAGACTGAGCCTCTCACCTGTAGATCACTCTCTTGCTTCATGTACTCAAGCTGCCTGCATCAGTAATGACACTAGCATTGCACGGACATCCTTCTGTGCTGCCTTCTCTCTCTGCAGTCCTCTGCAAACTGCAGGAAACTACCTCTTCCCTTATTAATTTGCAGTGGAGGAGTATAATCTTCAGTGACAGATAAACAGGAAAACTAATTTCTAGGGAAATAGAGAGACTGTGACTTGCAAAGGCTAACTGGGCAATCAGTGGACTCTTTAGTAGTGTTAAAATTTACTTGGCCTTTTATGAACTGAGAAAGCACCGAAAGGAGAGATGGGGTGAAATTAACAGCCTCTAAAAGATAATCAAACACAAAATGTCTTACAGCTACTTGAAACAGCCAGATAAAGATGGCAGGGTGAAAGATACTCAAGGCCCAAAGGTCATTTTCTTTTGGCAGTGGCCCAAACACGCACAGACGTAGTCAGAAATGACACTTTTCCTGAATTTTTCCTCTCTTAGGAGTAACTTTTGTCTGAGGCACTGAACTTATTTGCACTCAGTACTCGAAACTTTTACTTCAGATCTGCCCACAGCTCACTGTGTTTGTCATGGATAAGTCACTTAATTGGTCTGTGCCTCAGTTTTCCCATTTATCGCCTTATTAGAGCAATAGCTTGCCAGATTAATGAATAACAAGTGCTCAGAAAGCTTCTCACATTTCCTGTAAGCATAAAGTATTAGTATGTCCTTCCAGGCAGTGGAAAATAGTGAGCAAAGCAAGATACGTAAGAGTTGCCTAAGGCAGCCTATGGCAAGTCTATGGGCACAAACCCGGTGGCTGTGCGTACGTCAGCCAAAGAGCTGCCGCTCCGCAAGCGTGCTGCCAAGCGCACCGGAGGGATCCCATGGATTCGAACTGAAACGTATGTGTGAGGAACGGCCACTTCCGTAACTCCAGTGAGCAACAGCTTTGACTTCAGAGCCAGGATAGAGGGGATCCCCCTAGCCACAAACCCCTCCATCAAGACACTTGCTTCCACTTGAGTGCTGCGGGTGGGAGCAGTCGAGCAGCAACACCACGAGAATGGGGTACTCAAATGGGGAACCCCTTGCATCAGCTGGCCTGTCTTCCCACCACAGCAGACTACGGTTTTGCAAAACTGACTGCATTTTCACGAGAAAGGTTAAAATTGCAGCAGATCAGTGAGACTGGGCAGAGAAAAACAAGTAGTCTTTCTTAATTGAGCTACAGTGAAGTCGAGCTCTGTGTGTGCTTTCTGTCCTACTGGAATAACTACTGTAAAAATGGTAAGGTTGCAAGCTAAAAGCTTAAGAACTGCCAGTATTCAGACTGCACAAATAACTTCAGTTAAAGCTGAGTGTTGTACAACTTACATGATTTTTCTTTTTACTATAGAATTTCTCTGTCTTTAATTTCTTAAAAGGTAAACAAAATTCAGTCATGTGACCTGATCAGTTTTTCTGCAGTGCTGAAACTTTTGATCCACCACAACAATCTCTACTACCACGACATTTTCCTGACGGATTAAACACCACCGAGAAATACTTAGATATGCACACCCTAAAGTCAGTTCCGTATTGCAGAAGGTATTTTTGGCATGGTTGGGGCTTTCCCTATCCTCCAGAACACTCACTTTCTTCTCGCCAACCTGTGAGCTATTTCCCAACTCCCGTTCATATTTCCAGCCAAGTTTCTACCCATCCATGTGACTGGTTTTGTTGTTATTCCCAGGATACTGCACCCACTCCCTTTCCTCCCTACACCTAATAACACAGGCAAAGTCCTTCCATCTTCTTGTTCTTGCTGTCTTGACACTAAGGCAGTGGCTGGACACCCCAGTCGATGCTGGATTTCACAGCAGTGCTGCCCTGTAGCCGGGAAGGCACGTGCAGTAAGAGGTCCCGCTCCACCTTTGGGTCCCCATGGCGGGGTATGCAGAGTCTACCGGAAAGGAAAAAGCGACGGATGGCAGAAGTCAGCTGCCTGTGGCATTATCTTTGGGGAAATCAGGTTGCAAGTCTCTGCCAGGCCTTCCTGTGCACGTGCAAATGGCACATTCATTAAAAAGCCCCTGACTGGTGAGTTTCCATGAGGTCATCAACCCCAAAGCATGAGGCTCCAGCATATATGGTGTAAAAAAAAAAACGTGAAATTAATGATGAAATGATATGTCCTCTAAACATGCTCCAAAAAGGGTTTGAGCCCCTATTCTTTTTTTTTTTTTTTTAATCAAAATCACCCTGAATTTGAAACTTACCAGGCAGAACTTCAGGTTTAAAAATGCAACTGTTACATCTTTTCATTTAAAACAGTATGTGGAAAATGGCAGGCTGCTTTAAGGATATATAGTAAAAATGATTTAATTGCGTCGCAGTAGGAACTGCACAACCGTCTCTGATCATCCTTAAAGCTCTGTCTCACCATTCTTAAACGCTGTCCTACCTAAAAATTTGTGGTTTAATATTTCTCACTTTACCACTCATTTAAGTGTTTTAATACTTCTCAGTTGTGCTGGAATAAAACTGCAGGAGAAGGTGCGCAGAGGAGACGACGTTTATTTTTTTCCACTGACTTCGCGGCTTGCTAAACAAAGCAGCGGGAGCAAAACGAGCAACTAAGTTTTAGAAAGCTTCTCTTTGTTGTTCATAGCTACACGAAACCCCTTTGCTTCCGTTGTGCAGGTACCACGAGTAGCTGTAACTTCCCCCCACACTTCCGGAGTATTTCCTCACGGACTGTTTTCATTACAAAGAAAAGCTCCTTCACGTGTGCAGTACTAATGAGGAGACTGCAACTTGGGCAGATCCTGAAGAATTACTTCCTGCAGCCTTGCCAATCCAAATACATTTCCTAGAACAAGTGGAGTAAAATTCCACTTACACAGCAAAGCAAATAGCTTTTCCACACATCCTTGTAAGCTTACCGGACTTTTTTCTTTTGCTGCTTTCGAGTCTGGATAATTTTCAGAATGGCGTCTTCATCGTAAGTATGTCCACAGACTTTGTTTCGAACCGGCCTCTTCATTTCCATCTGCAATCAATAAGGTGTCATTTACAGGAACTGATAATGCCCAGGAGAGTGCTTCTTAGGAGATTCCACGTAAACCAGCAGGAAGTGTGTCTGCCATTCACACGTGGCATTCCACTGAAATTACAGGGTCAGGTCCTGCGTGGTAAACTGCATTCTTACTTGCGTGGGGTTTATTTTTTCCCAAGCAATACTGCTTTTCTCTGGTAATGTTTGTAAGTTATACCACCTGATTTTTAACAAGTATTGCGGACTTGTAATAAACAATCCAGTGAGGGATATGAAATAACTATTTCCCAATCGATTACAGTAGCAGTGACAGCATACCTGTGTAATGGGACAAATAAAGTTCATCTGACTCTGAGTCACGGCTATATCTTCATCGATTTGTTCAATGGCCTCATTATCATTATCTGATTGATGACAAACTATAAGAGGAAACAAGACAATTTTCATTTAATATTTAATATAGATAGCCAATACTTAAAATAAGCAAATAAAATCCAGCGTTTGCCAAGCATTCCCTCACAGTGACATCTAACATACCACAACGTATTTTTGTACCACTCCCTGAACAGGATCCTGCAAAAAATACTGTATGATGGTCTCTGTTAGAAAATGTGGATTTTTAAATGGTAGCCACTTTGTGTGTGTGTGTGCAGCTACTTATAGCCAACGCTGGAAAGGAGGGCTGGGAAGGAAGGCAAGCTGGCCTGAACGTATGCAGAGCCTGTGGTAATCCCTGTTCAAGTTCACCAAAACCCAGCAACATGCAGATGAGTCCCCAGAACCTAACAAAGGACGAGGTGGAGCTCCTGCTGATTTGGCAGTACCCTCAAGGCCAGTTTGTGTCTGACTGTCATCAATGGGCTTGCTAAACAGCCTGTACACACAGGACTTTGAAAGGAATTTGTACTATTTATCATAATGCACCATTTGTAAAGTGATGCCACTGCATTTTAACAAGATTGCAACTAGTGAAAAACAAAAGCCAAGAAAGCGTTACTTGAGAAACCTTACTGAAGTAACCTTAAGGAGGAGAGGCAGAATGAAATACTGGTATCACCCAGAAAACACTTGATGGCCCAGTGCCAGGGAATGAGGGGCAGACAAAAAGGATGAAATCCACTTTTGAGCTAGAGAAGATACAGGTCTCCACCTTCACCAGAAGACGACACTCTGGGTACCCAGGGGCATGCCAGCCCAGGCTTCCATGAAGAAACTAATTAGCCAGAGCCAAACGCTGAGACACAGGAGCAGCTAAGGAGCACATATATTGCGAAGTATAACCTTATTAAAGGTGTACATGTGTTATCTGTCCCTAACTTTGCTCTGTTGTTGAGAATCCAGGCTTTCAGTTGAATGCATTTGTTTATCTTTAAATCTTATCTGGTAATTCTAGCAAACAACACCTGCCACAACTTTCCATTGCTTTGGGGTAGTTCTGCAATGTTTTTGCAGCAGTGCCCTGGGGTGTAGTCCTCAAGGTGTCCCAGACTGAACAGAACATTTTTCTCTCTAGCTGCACTAGCTAGTTTGCAGTGTAGCAACAGAGGGTTTGGAGAGGATGAAATCCTTCCGTGCCTGCGCTGGCTTTGAGAAACGTAAGCGAACACGGAGGGTTCGGTTACTTCACAGTTTGCCTTCTACAAAGACTCAGCCTTTGTTCCTTTTGCTGCTATTGCGCACTATCAGCCAATCTTTGCATTTTTGCATCCCTGGTATTCAGTCTTCCACATCTGTTAAGGACCAGCGTTTCCTAATTTATGGTCAGTCCTGCATGCCTGTTTAATACCATCCCCTTCCGGATGATAAGAGCAGACATCACTCTTGGAGCAATCACAGCCTCTCACACACAGCCTAGACCGAGCACGCTGCCATGTGAGCAAGCACATCTCTGCTTGAGGTGCTCTTGGCATTGGTATCGCAGCCATCGCTCCATCCCAGCACCTCTCCATACGCCGGGCCTATTATTTCTCCCTCCTACTTAACAGAGCTTGGCCTTGTCTCCATTCCAATATACAAAGAGTTTTCCAAGCACTCAGGAATGTTTCTGACCCAGGGACTCCTGCAAGTACTTATGCAATACTGAGGCAAGCATCAAGGGTATTTCTGTTTCTGTTAGTAAGTCTCACTCAGTAAATAGGGTGTGGATGCAGGGGGAAAAGGAGCTCACATGTCCAATTTCAATAATAATTTAAGGCTTTCAACACCGAGAACATTAACATAACTTTATAGATAATGACCCCCTAACAAAAGTAAACACTGGCAAATCAGAAGGAAAAACTGGGCACAATTTAACTGTAAATACCGAAACTGGAATGGTATTGACATCAGAAAGAGACTTGCATCAGTTACCAGTTTTCAGAAAAGAAAACCTGTCACATAGCATTCATAGATTGTTCATACATAAGGTTTACTCTCTCATAAACACATAGAATCCTGAAGAAAATACAGTTTTCTGGGGACAAAGTGGGTTTTATTTAGTGAAGCTTCTGAAATACAAAGCAATGGGTGAAATCCCACTGAAGGCTAAAGAATATTCCAAACATTGTTAGGTGCCAGCTTCTGCATGGGCTGCTTTATTTAAATAACATTAATTTTTTTTTTCAATGAGTAACGCCAACATAGAACAAGAGATTCAGAACTCTCCTGAATTCACGTATCTGCAAAGTTTGACATCCTGCAGCTCTAATCTTTCCTGATGAAAACATCTGGAAAACCACTTTTCTGTTTCAACTCCTGAACCTGCCATGTCGTCCCAGTGTACCAGCACATCACGTCAGTCAATGAAGTTAGAATGCAGCAATACCGGCAAAATGCAGGACAGGTGATTGATTACAAAGGATGGGTTTGTTTTTTTTTTTAAATCAATTATATGTAGATACCAAAGACACTGGGTAAAATTTTAAAATGTGGGGCTTGTGCCTGTGATTTTACTTTTAAAGCTCAGCACTCCGAGGCATGTCAGTAGCCTCTTCCGGACAAGCGTTCACCTGACTTTGCCAAGGAGTCACCGCTTCCCTCATCACTCCTGTACTCAGGTACTGACACAAGAATTTAGGAGGCTGTGTTGATGCAGCCAAGTTTGAAAATATGAGCTCAAGCTTGGGTACTGCTGCTTGAGTCTCCCCTGAAGGTCTCAGGTCTATAAATTATGTGAGCTTAATCACAGCCTGGGTTCACCTCCGTCTCATACTGGCTCTGGAGGTGATTTAGATGCCTCATGTTCAATGGCTGAAATTCCAGACATTCAGACCCACTCCTTCTAGGTGGGATATATTACTCTTCCTGGATTCAAATTGTCCTCTTGCTGCAAGTTTATCTTAAACACTTCGTGTTGCACTTCATCTGCAATAATTTTATATACAGTCTACCCAAGTGGGGCCCTGGATTCAAGAGGTTATCCCAGCATAAATGAATAATTATTTAAAATATTACCTTTTCATAAGCAGCTAATATTTTTAATAATAAATATACGAGACTGGGATGATGCAAGGGATACCTCAAACATGTCAATAGCAAATCAGCATAAATCAGATAAACCACCCACAGATTTGTTGTTATTGCTTGATGTTCTAGATTACAGGAGTAGAGAAGAAAATAACTTTTTTCAATTACAGTAAATTTTGCAGATTACGCAAGACAGACAAACATCCAGAACTGGTCAGTAAGATGCTCTAAACCGTAGATCTATAAACTCATATTGGAAGATGTTTTTTATGAAGGTCAAAGGGATTTTTTACCACATGAAATGTATAAAAGTTCGGAGGTTCTAACTTGCAAGTCTGACTATTCTGTAGAAAGAAGAAATAAAAACACATAGGCCATACATATTTCAGCTAAGTCAGGTTACATGTTTCTAAAATTGAGTTTTCCTTGCAAATTAAAACCAGATGCAGAAAACACTAAGTTATTGTTCTTGAAATTCAGATGTTGCCTTAAGTAGCAGAAGCATACAGATCTATTTTGGTAGTCTGAGAGATTACGTTTTAAGAGCGTTAAGAGTTTCTAGTTTTCCAGTCCAGCCAATTGAAACCTGTTATGAGCATTAGTAACACATTTTCTATCTGGCTATCTCAGCACCAATGTTTACAGCTAATTAGTGCCCACTGTTGTAATAAAACTGCATTCTCATAAAGGTATCTATTTTTGGTAACACACCATAATGAATTTTGCAACTGCCAACTGTTTTTTACTTATTCAGTTTTAATTAAAAGCTGCTAGTACTTTATATCTCTACCACTTTCATCTCTTGATAAAATTGTGACTAATATGCCTTAGCTCAGTTTTTACCTACTCTGCTGAGACAGAGTGAGAACTTTTAAGCCAACTTCTAAAAATAAGAAAACCATAGCACAGAGACGTTAACGGATATAGTCAATTATATTAAGCATGGACAGTATACATAGTAAAAAGCACTAGAGGAAAGATCTTCTCCATTGTCATTGTCACTTCTATGACAGACAGACCTGCGTCCAGTGCCAACAATGTCCTTTGCCCAATTCCTGCTCCTCTAAGGCAGAGAAGTTTGCCTTAGCCTGGCCCTGAGCGAGCCGTACGTGTTGCAGTGTAAACTGAATTGATTTCTTTCCTCCTGTGCTGCACTGTTGTGTCTTCTCACCTGCCATCGCTCTAACGCTAATCCCGGCAACCAAAGGGTAATGGTAAGCATGCAGGATGGAGTCTTCGTAAGCCGGAGCCACGAAACAGACAACGTCTTGGCTCCCAGGAGGGTCTGTCATACTATAGAAATAACAGCAACTCATCCAGGCTGGGAAAAATCCCATCTCTGAGAGCTCCAAGAAGAACATGAGTGTTACAGGGGCGAGTCAAATGCCCAGTGTTCCTGCCAGCAGGACACAGAACGTAAGGGAAGGTGGGGGAGGTGAAGGACCTCATCACATCCCAGATGTGTAGTCCAAGAGTCACGGGGGGTCAAGACCAGAGCCGGGGCACTGCTAGCGCAGGGTGAGGGAGGGCCAAGGCCAAGTCGAAAGGAGGGAATGAGCCCAGACGCTGCTTTCCACAGAACACTGAGACCACAACGGGCAATGCCGAAGAGCAAGGGCAGCATGCCCCTCAGTGCGCGGAACATGGGTTAGACCTCGGATCCGGAGCAGGAGGCCAGGACTGTCATCCAGTGTCCTGCCCTGGGACAGAAGCGCAGGAAATGCTGGGGCAGGAGCGAAGAAGAGGGGAAGCTCAGAGTAATACCTTCCTGGCACTCTACCCTGGTCTCTAGCAATTTGTGGCTAAGGGCTTCCTGAGTCAGAGGTAAGATCTTTGTACTTAATAAGCCCTGGAGTTTTCCTCCAATGAATTTGTCTAAACTTGGAAAGGGGAATTTGGGCCTGGACTTTTCAGCTTGATTAGAGACAGTTATCTTTGCTAGAAAGGTTAGCAACAGTTTAATTTTCCTTGAAACTTACCGCAGAGGCTGCAGGTTACAGTTTAATTTGATTTTTAAGAGGGAAAATAAGGTGTGCAAGCTACAGCTGCAGTCGAGCAGTTCAAAGGCTTTCTGCTTTTGCCAGAGGCATGCGACAGTTTAATCTGCCAACCAAGCCAAGCTAGGCTTTGCGTTACAGTGCATTACAGTTTGATTACTCGCTGGTGTTGCAATACACACGTTGATCTAAGGAAGGTGGCCTCTAACACGTTGCTCCAGATTGCAATTGCAAATTTTCTTGCCCCTGCCCAGGCCAAGCAATTTGCTGGTAATTTACTGACAAGTCCCTCATATGTGCCCTGTTTTACACGTACTTGTGTAAGAAGTACGTAGACATGCATTCGATTGATCCAAATTAAAATTACAGTCCCATAAATATAAGCCATTCTGATTTTCCTGGAGTGTGAAAGACAAATTAGATGAACAAATTAGCAAATCGTTAGTTCCTTACATAATAAGAGTGGGGAAGGAAAGGACAGTATCCTGCACGAAGCAACAATCCTTTAAAAACTCCTTTAGTGCCACCAAATTCACAGCACTTGCATATTTTACAGTATTTTCTCGCACTAAGCTACAGGCCTTTTAAAACACAGTATTCCAAACGGAAATCCTGTTCCCGGTTTATCCTTTCACTTGAGGGTAGAGCTGGTTGATGCCAGTTTTTGAGACTGACCTTAAAATGAAGAGACTATGATGTGATGAAAATGTTATGGGACACGCGTTACAGAAATGTAAGTGAAGGAGATGGAAAGGCGCTTGAAGCCAGATACAATTTGCTGTTTAATGAATTAATAAATAAAATGTGACTACAAACCCCACCTAGAACAAAACCAAAACAAGCTCCAGGGGTGCACTGTGAAACCTTCAACTCACACACTATTGGAAATTAAAAGAAAGACATCATCTTTGCCTTTAGATTCTGGGAAATTCAGACTGTTGTGCAGTGGGAACTGTGCCCCTAGAAATGGGAAAGAAAGTGTATCTTTGATCATAAACCACACAGCCTGAACAGTTTGTTAGGCAAACACACAGGTAGCTTGCTTGCTCCCTCTGTTATTGCACACAAACACGAGGAAGCTACACTTCAAAATCTGTGGATGACATTTCAAACAGCAGTTTCCTCATCACTGCAGTCTGGACTAGATCTCAAGAAGCTCCTGAGGAGATGAAGCTTACCTAAAAAGATGCCATGAAGGTTCATCAGTAAGCTCAGAAGAGCCACTATTTCTGGAAAATCTAAGGCAGCTATATTCTTGCATCTTAACCATCATCACCCACGATGGCGTGTAAGCTTAATAAGCAAGCTACACACCAAAGGCTTGCTGAAAATAAACCTAACTGATAATCAGATTTCTTAAATAACCAGGAAACTCTAGGTCTACATGAAAGCGTGCCAGGCATGTGACAATACAGCAAAAGTATTAGGGATGCCACAGCAAGAGCAAAGCAAGACAAAACCTAGAATAAATTACAAGGAAAAAATAGATCAGACACAAGCTACTAAACTGGAAATATATGTAAAGAACATTTTTATTACTTGAGTTTTCTCCTGCTCTTCAGAAGAAAAAATGCTGAACAATCACTGCTTCATACAGTATCCTATGCAAAGGCAACTTCCATGCTTAGAGAGCATCATTTCATGTATCAGAGATTAGAAGAATATCACGCACACTTAAAAAAATGAAGAAATCTACTCCAGACACATCATGAAAGAAAAAGTTGCAAAAGATGCAACCAGGGAAAAAAAAAAAAGGCCTACCATTTCATTAGAAGATGAACCACTTTCCATTACTAAATTGTGGTCAGAATCTGGAATGCAACTGATGCAATGCTAACCATCAAATGACATGAGCATGTAGGGCTTGCCTACACAGGGAAGCTGTTGCAAAATAAGCGAGGGTGTGAATGTAGAATGCATTAGTTACTTGGCAGTAATTCACTGTGCGGACGCTCTTACTCTGTACGAGGAGTGCCTTTTGGCTGTTTAGCCTAATCCACTTCCACCCTGGACTTGAGAAAGGCACTGTTAGTGCCGGGCAGTAGTAGTGAGAGGAAAGCTGTCGGTACTGACGGCAGTTTGGAGCCATGTGTGAGTCCTCAGCAGCCCTTGGATGGTCGGTTTTGTAAATTTAATTCCAATTTTCTCAGAACAATCCATGCCAAGTGAGCAGAAGAGTTCCCAGCTCACCCAATTTATCCCACCCCTAGAAGATTATCATTCTGTTTATCATTTCAATCTGCCTCTTCACATTCTCCTCACAAGACTTTTTGACAAAGACTTCACTGTCTGTCTTTCCTAAACAGCTTTGTTGAAAAACACCTTTCAGAAATCACCCAAATAATGCCCCCAGCCCTGGTGCCAGGACAGTGGTGAACACAGACACATGCAGTTCGCCATGTGCTGGGGCGTAGGTCGGAATATTTATGAGGTAGAGGGTGAGAGGGCACGAAGCTATAGTCCCTGAACATTAACCTGTTGATTTTGTGATCGGCGAGGATGGCGCCGACTCAGCAGTGAAAGCACCAGAAAGAGCCATGGCTCACCACTGGGAATCGGGAGGTTTGTAGTACAGGAAACCAGTGCTGCCGTCCCCTTCACCTGAAGGAAGCTGGAGAGACAGCTCTGTCTCTTTTACCAGGAAAAGATGGATGTACTGTATCGCTTTTGAATAAAGACATGAGTTCACAAATAAGAATAAGTGAAACTGAAATAGCGGGGACAAAATATTCTTCTCCCTAGCCCCTGAAGCCCAGTGTCAAAACACTTGAGAGAAACTTTCAGGTGAGATATTTTATTCCAGAATGGGTATTAATGAATAGGGCAGCATTTGCAATTCCGTTCTTAGTGATGCATTTCAATCCTTCAGAGCACTTTCTAAAACACTTAACTACTTAAAAATGAATTTACTTAATTTATAAATATGTAACATCAAGTGATAACAATTCAACGTGCAGTGAAGCGCTATATATATCCACATAACTTATCGGAGTTATGTTATTAAGATGTATAAAGAGAGAAGTTGTGTTCATTTCCTAAGCTTTTTCTATAGAAATGAACTTCTGCCTTTTACCTATAAACTTCAGCACTCCAGTTATTCTGAATTCTGCAGCTTTGCACTGCCTGAAGTGCCTCTGCTGAAATGGCCTGTGGGATGGGCAAGAAGTCTCGGCTGTCTGCATGTCACGGTCATTATTCCAGCACCATCTAGGAGCTTGTCCCTGGGGCAGTCACCACTCCGGGCACTGGCTGGGTACCCGCTCGGGGCTGCACCTCCCTCTCTGCTCCTGCCGTTGGTCATCAGCCGGCGGCCCCGAAAACCTCCGCAGAAGAGGAATTTTCCTAAAGCAATGGATTGTTTGTGGGAGTAGTAACAGCCAATTCCTTCTTCTCTTGAACACAAGTAACTATAAAAAAGGTCAGTTTTACTACCATGACCAAACTGGTGGAAAACTGAGGCACAGGGCAGGAATAGGGCCAGTGCCACTAGGACATTTTGTGTGCTAGACCCTTGCCTTTCCCATTAGACCACGCTGCCTCCCCCCTGAGGAGCTAAGGCTATGAACAGTTTCCAAACGCATTCTTAGTGAATGCATCAGTTTCACACTAAAAGCAAAAAATACAACAGAGAAAACAGTATCTTCTAGTAATTGCACAATATCTGGTTGTTTATTTTGAGAAAACTAACACTTGCACTGAAGAATATAGGATCATTTTCTGGTAAGTCCTATTTATAAAAATAGTGCCTCTTTGCTAAACTACATGAGAAAAGGAAAAAACATCATATCAAAACAAGTTAAGAAATAAAACTCAGGTTTTTTTTTTTTTTAAGAGGAACTTAGAGCTCTGCTATTGCTCAATCACAAAACTGCAAGGTTTAATTTGGGTTAAGGCAGAGTGACATCCTGCGTGTGTGTGTACTAAGACATTCCGCATTAACTGTGCTGTGCACATTGTGCAGATCTTCACTATAATAATCATCAGCAAACTCTTCCCTACAAGAAATAAAAAATGTTGCTAATCCCATCCTCCAAAACAAGGTCATGGGGGGCTTGTGCAGCTAAACATCATCAGTTAGGAACAGCCCAACAGTTAATTTTTCTCAACCTGTCCTGTGATGTAAGAAAATATCGAACGCTAAAGCCCTGAGCTATAAATACTCACAGATTATAACTGCAGCA